CAGGGAGCCCGATGCGGGACTCGATCCCGGGACTCCAGGATCATGACCTGAGCCAAAGGCAGTCGCTTAACCAACTGAGCCACCCAGGCGCCCTGCTTTTCTAATAATAACCCGGTTGGTGTCCCCTTAGCTTGTCTTTCTCTGCTCCTGTCTTTACCACAACGGGGCATGAGATGAATCCCCACAGCCCCACATACAACACTTTCACGGATCTTTCGTGTGACTCAACTGAGTCCAGCCCTCATTCTTTAACCAGGTGTTTAACATCCTTCTTACAATGGTCCAGTTCGCTTGTAATAGCCACTGTTCTCTGAATATTTCTGGGCCTTTCCCTTTTATGCCCTTGTCTTCTGTGCCTTTTGCTTGGAATGTCATTTCCCCTATATCACCACTTAGTAGGAAATTTGTACTGCTCTCACGGCAGACTAGCATCCCCTTTTGACTCTCATGACATTTTCTTGTATATCTCTTAATCTTCAGTTTCTCTATCTTGAACTCATGGTTATTTTGTACACCCATTTCTTCTCTGCAATATTATTAACTGTTCACATCTCTACTCAACACTATATTCTTTAGATGACCCAGTATGAAGTATAAACCTTAAAACCTTTCCTGATTTAAGAATTTTTGAAGGGAAACACTGTTGTAAAAATTGCCTGTCTCCATCACTTCGCTCATTTTACATCTGGAATTTTCTTGTCCCTAACCTGACCAGGATGCTGACCTTTGAAAGCCATCCCTCCGGTGGCATGCCGTATTTGCCAAGTTGCTGAAGGGCTTTCTCAAATATTCCAAGTACTAAAACTCCTGAAACAGGGATGTACTTACAGTCCAGGACCCCAACCCTGACTCTAGAACCCGGGGGATGTTAAGTCAAAAGTTCATTTTTAAAATCCCATTCTGAAAGGTCCTTGAACCTAGAGGCACAGGGTCAAGTCCAAACCCCGACACCTAGGGAAGTCCACGGCACCTGCCCTACTGCTCTCCGTGAATGCCAGCCGACAGCCAACAGGGTCTTTCCTCTTCAGCTGGCCCTCCCCTTTATAGGATGACTCGTTCTAATCTACCCTTTCATCCTGCATCTTTTTCCAGATTCTCCCAGCGGCTCGTCATGCCCACATCGATGCCCCACTTCCCCATCCCAACCGGCCCTGAGGTGGCCACGTTCGTCTCTCCCCTTAGGTGTTCGCCGCGGGAGGTAGTCATGTAAATAGAAGTCACTTCGCCCTGCCAACGGCAACAGGCGCACACTGAGTGCACCAAGTCACTCTTGCACTTCACTGCACAGATGGTCCCCGAGGACTGTTTAATCCTTCCACGCCAGGAGTCGAGTTTTCTTGGCACAAAATTCAGTGCTGGCAATGGACACATTAAAACTGCCAGTACCAGGGAGCTAAAGGTTCCCAACGTGTTACTCGGAGGAATGATTTGGGCGGGCGAGAGTTAAGGTGTGTAGGGAAAGGGAGGCGACCGCTCACTGAATTGTTTCCACCCTGGTAAGTTGCTTCCTCAGAGTGTGGAGAGCTGAATCTCAATGCCTATATTTGGTGCACAGCAGGCTTTAGAATAAAGCTGCCCTCCTTTGTTTTTTAAATAAGCCTGTGCTTTTGTCTCTGGCAAGAATACATTCAAAGATTCTATTTTCCTCGAGGCCCCAGCTGCCCCTCTGGACCCCATCTTTTACTTTGCTTTCCCAGGTTGTTTTTATTTCTCTCTCTCCTTCTCTCCCTCCCTCCCTCCTCCCACCCTTTTGGAAAAGACAAAGAAGACGATTCCTTAGAGGCTTTCGGTACCCGGTGCCTATCTGTGGGTCAGAAGGAAATATTTTGAAAACGATTCCCATTTCCTCTGGCCCACTGACTCTCCGCAGGACATCCGGGTCACGAAGGACCAAAGCGTGGAATAAGCAAGGCCCTGATCTTTGTCTACATTTGCAGCTAATGAATCATCAGTAGAGAAGCCAGGATTATAGCCTTTATAAGAGAAGACGATCTTGAATTTAAAAAAATGCATGAGAAAAAAGATTCGTTATTAGGTCATTGATGATCCAGATTTGGAAGAATTTCGAGAAACCCACATCACCAAGAGAAGCACATTTTATGAAATAAAGGTCCTACTTATGATTTCGGAAAGGAAATTCCAGAAACCATACGTACACACAAATGGAACAGGTAGGGATGCCATGTATAGTTGTTCAGCTTGTGCACTGCTGAAAACTAGTCCACGCTTCATTCACCAAGACATGAACCTCTGGGGCTGCATCCAACCAGAAGGAATGCCTTTTCCTATTCTTACAAAGCCGCCGTATAGATTAGCAGACCCTGGACTAAGGCTCAGACCCAGTGCAGGGACATGAGCAGTGATCCCATGGGACTCTTCGTAGATAGTCACCCACCTGCTGCCAAGTGGCAAGGCAGGAGCACTCTAAAAGGCAGTATGGAAACATCTTTTCTGCAGTGAGTCTCAGTCCACAGCAGACCAAAATGGCGGCAGATTTGAGCAAAGGAATCAGATAGGCAATGAGAAAACCCTCACCCCAATAGCAAAAAGCAAATAGCAACTGCAACCACACCTTGAGGAGTGTGTTGCTCACTAACATTGACAAGTGGTCTTTCATATGGTCAATCACAGGTCTTTTAGTTAAACCTATTTAAAAAATTAACATAATGGTGAACTTTCACTCACCCATGCAAAGTGCCTGGTATTTTAATTGTTCAAAAGTTTATTACCTTGTTGGTGAGCAAAGACATGAACACAAAATTATCAAAGAGAAATAAAGGAGAGTAGGTAATAGAGCATGAACTCAAATATGACAGAGTGCCCCCTATGTATGGAAAGAGAAGTGGTTCCCTAATTGTGACAGGCTCCAGGGATTGTGTACCTTCGGAGCATGTAGGGCAGGGAAGAGAAGTGGCCAAGAAATTAGGGTTTCACCTCCCCCCCACACACACACCCCCAGCTCCTCTCAACTGAGGGGGCGGAGAATCCAGTTTCATTTACTTCATTCATTTTTTTCATTTATTCGTTAAGTGCTTGCTTCTACGGGCAGACACATCCTAAGCTCTTTAGATGGTTTATTAGGTTCAGTTCTCCCTCAGATTCTCTGAGATAAGTGTTCTAATTATCTTCATTTTATTGACACTGAAACTGAGGCACAAAAATGTTACATAACATGTAGATGCTGAGGGGTAGGCGAGGGAGGGGCACTTGCGTGAAGCCAATAAAGAAAGACTTAGGAGATAAAGAGGGAGAGCAGAGACGCTCCCCGTGGGTTGCAGAGAGGAGCGAGGCAGAGCACAACCACATATGAGTAGCAGGTACAGCTGGTTTTCGGGGGATTTGTGAAGCAGGTTGGATGAACCGACGGATAACATGGAAGCAGGGCTGTGGGAAGAGCAGGCCAAATGGTGGCCTAGAAGGCAGGACAGAGACTGGGGTGGGAATGAATTTATGAATCCGCAGAGAAGCAGAAGATCAAGGGCAAGAGAAATGGGGCCCAAGTCCTGAGCCTTGTTGCCAAGGGAAGAGGCCAGCCTGGAACACACAGAAGGGACTGATTTAACTTGTAGAGGAGATTTATTTTGCATTTTGCTCAAAATTTGATAGGCTTTTGGCAAGTGTAGGAAACAGTCATAGATTTGGCAGTCTTCTGCTAGCAGATTTGAAATGTTCAATCCTTAAGAACTGCTGCATCGTTAGGTTATGCAAAACAGGGTGCAATTTTGTAAATATGCCATCTTGTACTGATTTGACATTTGTTCTATTATCCCAGAATATGCCAAAGGGAGAGAGACCTTCAGATTTAAGCCAAACCTTAACTTGTTTGTTGAGTGCTGATAAAATGTTGACTGCTGTGTGATCTTTAAAGAAGCCAGTGTTGCTTGGTGAGGACTGAGGTAGAGCCCCCTGTCGGGTTGACGGGCTCTCTTCTTTGGCATCTCACGGATACAGTTGTTTGATAGATGTAAACAAGTAAAACATCCGATATAGTGGGTCGAAATAATTTTTTCTTAAAAATGTTCTCTGGCCTCTGTTTTCTGTAGCATTAATGGTGCCTCCCCGAATAGCATTACTTAATGCTATTTATGAGCTTTGGGTTGCAAGCAGGACAATGCATAGAGGAAATCAGTGCAGCCGTGATGTATCACTGATGTGCTGGGTTGTCCATTAGACCAGTGGCCATTTGCCCTCTCCACAAAAGCCTGGAAATGGTGATGAGTTAGTGGTTGGCTGGGATGTGAGGAACACTAGGACGTAAGGTTAAGGGGAACGGACTTTGGAGTTAGACCTCTACTCAAATTTGGTTTCCACCATTTACTAGCAGCGTGAGCTCGGAGAGGTTCGTTAAGCTCTCTGAACCTCAGTTTCCTCATCTGGATAATGGGGATCATCAAGCCTACCTCACGGGGTTACCAAAAGGCTTAAATGGGACACCTGTGCCTGCCCGGAGGGAGGCTTTCAAAACATGGCACCTGCCGCCATCATCGTCCTCAGGAAGCCAGTTGTCCTTCTGGTTCCTCGATGGCACAAGGGGTGGCTTAAAAATTGTTAGAACTTCTGTTTCTTACAGTCCTTTGCCGCTCTTATCAGCTCTCTCTTTATTTCAAAAATACAAAGATTTATTTGCTGGAAGGTAACTGAGGAACCAGCATGATCCAACAAGCAGCTACAGATGGTTCTTCTTAGGGCTTGAAGGAAAAGCTCCTCACAGAGATGCTGTGGAATCGGCACTGCCACTGGACCAATCCTTCCCACTTCGTTTTGCCAGACTGTTGCTGACAGCGGGGCTCTCCGGAAGTTTCTAGCCTCGGGAGGTTGCCAACAGCACACCATTGCATCCTTGCCCATTTATCACTCCGAGCTTCCTTTTTAGTAGCTGGTGATAGACTATTCGGCTTCTAACTTAGTCATCCATTTCCTTTTCTATTTCTGTTTCCATCGATAGGCAAATGGGGATTATCCTATTTTAGGGGGTTAAAATAGCACGATGGTATTATCTCCGATTATTAACCACATCTTCAGTTAACGCGTGCATCTCTTTCTCCGGCTTTGGGGGTGGCCTTCCGCACGGTGGACCGCCAAGGGTCTCTCTTGATGGAGAAGCCAGGATTCTTGGTCCAGTAGGGAATGATGGGTGGTGCCAGAGGCAGGGTGCCACGGCTGCATCTTTGGGGGCCGGTGGGGGGGATGCTCTCTGCCGCCTGGGAGCCTGGGAGCGGGTGTGTGCCTCCAGGCTGCGGGTCCGCCGGTCCACCTTGAGCCGGGAGGCCCCTCTGGAGACTTCTCCCAGGGAGCAGGGGGAAGCGTGCATGGAAAGGGCACACCTAGCTCACCGTTGCAGGGGAGGCTTTTGTTTTATTTTTCTCGTGCTGCATTAAAGTATTTGTCTTTCTTTCTTTGTAGTGTAATATTGTTAATGTAAAACAATTTGCATCATGACACTTTTATCACAGTTTTCGTCTTTTTCTCAGTATGTTGCATTTCTCACCATGTCTAGTTCATCACAGCTACAGTGTGTACATCACAACATTTATCTTAGGCTCAGGGTTTTACTTGTTTATAAAAATTGTCTTCTTTCAGCCTGTATTCACTCCATTTAAGAAAAAAAAAAGGCAGCCAGAAACTGTTTTGGTCCAAACTCCAGTAGTTATCACATTCCTTGCTAACTGTCCTGCGTATTTATATGTCTCCTAACTATTACTCTATGTTTCAATGACATTTCTCAGTTTTATGGCTCGTGGAGGTTGTAGGAGCAGCTTTTGCTGTTCAAGCTGCCAAGCCAGGAAGGCCGGTGGGGCTTCTGGAGGTGAGGCGAAGTGACAGAGCTGCCTGCGTGGGTCAGGTCCCCCGTGCGGCAGTTGCGTGTGTTGGGGGAGCAGAGCGCTAGGTTCGGTGTGGGGAGGACCGAGGCCGAGCGAGTGGCAGTGGCTGGGCAAGGCTGTGAGCTTTCTGGCCACAAGGATGAGGGGGGTGGGCGGTGCGCTGACAGGGAGCGCTGGGGCCTGCGGCTCACATTATGGATGTTCGCAGCGGTGCGGGAGCCCCAGCGTCTGGCAGCTCAAGCTCTGAATCCTACCCTCCTTTAGGGAGACTGATTTTGACCCTTTCCTCTCCGGAGAGCAGCGATTGCTTAGGGTTCTGCTGCTACATTGGGCTCTGCGGCAGCTGCACGGTCAGAAAACACGCCTTCCAAATCTCACAGGGCCCGGCAGACCGGCTCTCTTGATTAGTTCAGTCCGAGAAGGCACGGGAAGCCCGTGGCGGGAGGGCTACCCAGGGTGCTTGCGCGGTACAAATTCCGGGACAGTTAACTTATTTCTCACTGTTCCTTTGCGGGAAGACCACATCATGAGCAGCTTGGAATTTTAGTGGCCTCAGGCAGCATAGGAAGAAAAAGAGGTTCTGCCGTCAGACTTTGTGTCCAGCTCCGACACTCCGACATACAGATGGAACCTAGTGCGAGTTGCTCATTTCTGCGTCTTGGGGTCTCCATGGAGAAAGCAGGATCACTGTAGACTTATCTCAGAGGAATGTTGGCAGGATTAAATAGAGCAGTGCTTCCTACAAATATGCCCATTTTACAGAAGACGAGACTCAGAGTGCGGCATGTCTCCAGGCGCACAGCTCACTGATGTCAAAGCTGGGGCTAGAATCCAAATCCAACACCTTAGCCCTATCCCCTTCCTGACAGACCATCAGGGTTCCCATCAAAAAATACGGAGCTGGTGTTAGCTACAAAGAAATCTGTAAAATACATAAACTTGGCATTCATAAAGTTGACTTTGATTTACCAAGGTGCTGAAGGAATAGCTGGATGATTTTTAAACCTATAGGGAAACCACTGGCCCTCCCTCTCCCCAACCCATAAGGAGACAAGAGAAGCGGAGTCCAGCTCGCCCCCTCCCAAAGGCACTATGATGCCTCTGTGACACTTTTGCCTTCATCCCAACTTTGTAAACGTCCCCAAATCAAGATCAGATGGCCAGTTCTGTGCTTTCAAAGGATTTCTCATCCAAGGCCCCATCCCCATTCTAGAAGTCCTGCCTCACTGAGGTCGGTCTTCAAAAAGCTTACCTCCCCATTTTTTGCCCCGTTTCTCTGGCTGATTTGGGAATGGCTTGATCCAAGAGCAGGATTTTCCCTGATACAGAATGAGGCAGACAACAACAACCCACTGATTTTCTAAGGCCATGCTTGATCTTTTGCACCCCCTTCCCCTCCCATATGTTACATTTGCCTAGGTTTTAAACATCTGCTCCAAAAGAGGTAATACTTGCTTCTCATTCATTGCCTAGCAATGTGGACCAAAGTTCATATGACATATTGCAGAGTATGTTTAGTTGCAAATGCTATGTACAGGCTCTTTGAAATGTAGCATGTATGGCACCATGTGACACACGGTTGCCATGGCAATACACTTTTTGGCTGAACTACAGCATAAGCCCATGGAACATACATTGCTAATATGAGACTCTGCCCTGTGCTAATGCATAGGACACAGCCAATCTGGGATCTGGGACTCAAGGGGCTTCGCGTGCAGCCCTGGTGGCAGGTGCCCTCCGCCTGCATGTGCAAGGAAGATGTGGCATCCTCCCTTTCCAGTCCTGTCTCCCAGGCACAGGGCATGCTGTGCATTCTGCCATGCATGGAGACAGCATTTGCTTAAATATCGGTTTGCTATATTTTGTATCAAAGGGGGCCCCAGCTGAAAACATTTTATTTTGTAAACTGAAGTGAAAAATCAGTTTATGGCAGATCTTTTTTTGAATAATGACATTCTTTTTCCCAATTCCAGAATTCAACAGTCATGAGCAGAGCTGAAAATTTTAAACAAGTTGAGTACCTCCTTATTCATGGAACAGCAGATGGTGAGTTTCAGTTAATTAGACTTTTTAGTATCACAGACAGGTTTGCAATTTCACTACTGACAAAACAAAAGCATGAGGGGCAAGACTGTTACATTTACTTCAATAAAACAGTGTTGCTTTCCACAACTCACTTGTCTTGGGCTAAATGGGATGCTAAGTCCTAGAACTTCAAATAGTCCCTTTCTTCTTGTGCCTTTCCCACTCTTCCTCTCAGAAAAGGAGCGGCTATTAGTTACTTTGTGTTTCCTTTCTCTCCTTGCAGATAACGTTCACTTTCAGCAGTCAGCTCAGATCTCCAAAGCCCTGGTGGATGCTGGAGTGGATTTCCAAGCAATGGTATAGCAAAACTTGGTGCAAAAGGGGAGAACTTGCTGGTGGGGTCTTGGTTTCCCCCTCTCCTGGCTCCTTCTCCTCAAACAGTCCCGGGAGACAGGGACAGAACTAAAAGGGTTTTTATTTGTTCAGTGAGAAGTTGGAAGTGATAGCCTTAAGCCATAGACAGAGTAATGTTCAAAACTATTAGAGACTTGGAGGTTGAGAAGCACAATATTGCATATCTTGGGAGAGTCAAAACAGTGCTCTCCTACCCATGTGGTCGTTCAGTCTCTCCCTATTTGGATTCAAAAGTAATCACTTACTCAGTAAATGTGTGGCAGAGTAATTCTAAAGTGAAACCAGCATGATAATAGCTCAGCTCCAATATGAAAATCCATTTCTGTCTAGTATGTATTACTAGCCATCCTCACAACAGTGGGTCATTAATAATCGGCATGCTTCAGTTTTTGCAAATGCAACGTTATCTTTTGTTGAACGACCACAGGCAATAAACAATTAGGCTTGTTTTATAGAGTTGGAAATGGCTAGAGCTGTTGTTGCCTATACGTAGGCTGTTTCTAGGTAGTAAGTCAGATTCATTTTCTGCTCTAGATCTTTTCAGTTCAAGAAGAAAAAAGAAAAAAAGATGGTTTTTGTGTGTGTGTATATATAACACATATAAATGTATGTTTGTATTTTTATATGTATGCCCATGTGTGTGTTGCACTAAATATTTTTGTATAAAATGCTTTCTTGCCTCTATTAGCTAGAAAACCTGCTTTTCCTCACTCTCCACACACACACACACACACACACACACACACACTCACTTTGCTCTTCACTCTCTGAATCAGAGTGGGGCAGTTATTTGATACCAAAAAAAAAAAAAAAACCAAAAAACCTGGTATATGTCTTTTGGGGTCAGATTCTTATAAGAGCTTGAGGTTTCTTTTTCTACTACTCAAAGAAAAGATATGATACTTCAATTAGGCAATTTTTTAAAAGTTTATGTCTCCATAATATATGTTTGCCTGGTAGTGATTTCCCACTTGTTTAATGTGGGATGCGTTGATAAATTTTTGCCTCAGGCCATCAACTCTTTCATAAATGTCAGGCATACAGATAGAAAATTCTAGTGAAAAATCAAAGTGTTTGCAAATAATACATTTGCCTTTTGACCTCATGTTAAACATATATATGAAATATTGGAATAGATTTTTCTAGTTCCTTGGTAACATATATTAGGAAAAAGTGCTTTTAAAAAATTTATTTTAATACAGTTTCTCTTCCAGAGAGTAGGAGAAATCTGACACTTGATAACACTTAATTAAAACTAGGGTACTTAATGGGATAAACATTCTCTCCTGTGCATGATGTGGTTCTAAGTGTCCTTTGAGTCAAATCTGAAAGTGGATTTGGATAGTTTCATTAGAATATATATATATATACCCCCTAAAACAATGTTTTAATTCTATGTATGCTCATGAGAGCTTATTTGAATTATTTTTTTAAAAAAGAAGACAGCTGACTTCCTACTTCTGACCTTTGTCTTTCCCTGCAGTGGTATACAGACGAGGACCACGGAATCGCCAGCAGCACAGCACACCAGCATATATATACCCACATGAGCCACTTCATAAAACAGTGCTTCTCTTTACCCTAGCGCCTCAAAACAGCATGCCCGACCTTATTAAAAGCCATTTTTGTTCTATCTCAAAACTGCACTGTTCAGATGATGATCTTAAAAAGTACACTCAAATCAAGAAATTCAAGGTTACCTTTGTTCCCAAATTTCACGTCTGTAACCCTAAGTAGGGACTTCTGTCTTCGCAACAGATTATTACCTTACTGAAGTTTGAATTATTCCGTCTGGTTTTGTTTATTATTTAAAATCATTTCCACATCCGTTGCTGAAAAAACAAATATGAATTGTTTTTATGGGAGCTTTGCATAGGTTCCCAGGGAAGCATTATATTCTTTTCTAACTGGACCAGTCCAAATCTCGTTCTCTTCTTTAAAGGGATGGCAAGATGCGGGCAGTGATGTCACTGAGGCAGGGGTAAGAAGGGAAGGGGGAGGGGAGGGAAGGAAGCTAATAGGCCTGGCTGGGAACCCACGTCCGAGCACGATGACCTGACCAGGCATCTTCTCTTAGAGAACAGCTGCTCACAGGCAGACTGGCACGGTTTTCTGAGAAAGACTATTCAAACAGTCTCAGGAAATCATCTCTGCAAAGCACTGACTTCTGAGTAAAACCACAGCAGTTGAACAGACTCCAAAGAAAAGAGAGGGAATCTGCCAACAGTGCGAGGCCCCCAGGTGTGAGCTCCTGGCTATAGGTCCTACAAACCCACAGCGGTGGGGAGGCGCTGTAAACGTGCCTTAAAACTACTGGTGTCTCCCAGGGCAAGGGGCAGCTTGGAACGGAGATGTGAACACATCAGCTCGCCCTGCTAAAAGACGAAGATATTTGTATCACAAATTCGAACTTGAATTTGTCCTTGCATCAGTTTTTCTTAGTTCATTTCGTGGAGCATCTTAATGAAAAGGATATTTTAATGTCCTTGGACTTGTTTTTAAAAATCGAAAATAAACTACAAAGTTATGTATTGTTATTCCCATTCTACATACTGTGGAATTTCTCCTGGTCATTTAATAAACGTTCCCGCATTTTTTCAGAGGTAGTGCGTTTTGTGTCTTGAATGAGACCTAAACCACATTGGCATATGGACACGCTTATCCAGAAAGGCTCTTGTTTATTTTGCTTGTTATCCCAGACTGCCTTGTAAACATGGAGAGAGTTCAGCTTTTGTAAAAAAAAAAAAAAAAAAAAAAAAAAGATACATAAAAATGTGTTAAATTAAGCAGTTTGTAGGGTTTTTATGTAATACATACACAATTTGCTATCACACACATACATAGCTTTTGAAAGACCCAAATAGTTTTTATTTTTGATGTAATACATAATTTATAATTTTATTCCAGGAAACTGTGATGAGGCTCATGTTATAAGAACAAATAACATCAACAATATCATCTCAGTGTAAGTTAAGGAAAAAAGTCAGTTACTTAAGTGTTTGACTATTTTTGGCTGGCATATCTATATTAATGGAAGCATAGATTTCAGATGCTGAGTTTAGTCTAGCGGATAATTGAGGAAACGGGATTTTTTTTTTCAATCGTTGGCAAAATGGCCTAATTTTTTAAAAAATTGATTTTATGAACTCGAACTTAGCTTCAGACCATTTATTGGAAAAAGTTATCTCAGAGTGAGCTCCAGCATAAAAATCTAAAAATAGGAAAAATGGAAAAAAACTATCAATTACAACATAAGACTGGTGAGTCATGCATAGGAATGGACAGAGGGTTGTGAAATTCAGCTTCGATTGTACTTTGGGAGCATGCCACTGAGTAGCTTCACCTTACATCCCAAATCCCACTCATCCATTAGAGCTATAAATTGACCTGCAAACCTGTAGGGCTCTTGTCATAATTCTATTTCTTTTTTTTTTTTTTTAAAGATTTTATTTATTTATTTGACAGAGAGAGACACAGCGAGAGAGAGAGCACAAGCAGGGGGAGTGGGAGAGGGAGAAGTAGGCTTCCCGCGGAGCAGGGAGCCCGATGCGGTGCTCGATCCCAGGACCCTGGGATCATGACCTGAGCCGAAGGCAGACGCTTAATGACTGAGCCACCCAGGCACCCCCATAATTCTATTTCTTAATAGAGTTCAGTCATTGTAAGTAACTGGACCGATCTTTGCAGAGTTCTATATCCAGGAAAGTAGTCATAGATCATATGTTCACAACCTGGACCGAATTAATAGTCATAAGAGCAAATTAAATAGAAATTCTTCTTTTATTTTAATTGGAACCAGATAGTGTGCAATATCAGATGCTGTACAGATATTAAAACCATTTGGCAATATCAGATGTTAACAATAGCAGATATTGCCCAATAGCAGATATTTCACAGATATCAGTATGACCATTGGACAATAGTGGATATTGCACATCGGATACTACACAGATATTAAGACCATCGCATAATATCTGTATTGTACAATAGTTGTACAATATCAAAACCATGCAATTCACTGTTCCTTTAGTTTCTAAATATGTTATTTTCTCTGGAGCCCAGAGGTGGTAAAAAAAATCCTAGCACATATTTTTCACATAATGAGGGTTACAAATGGTAATGATGTGATTGAAGTTAAAGTAGATTTCCTTCAACCCTCACAGGACACGTTTTACTCTCCAATAAGAGTTTGTAATTGGCTGATTGGAAAAGGAAGGTAAAGACATTAACAACTTTGAGAGAAACTTAGTCTGAGGCTAAGCTGGAAACACACAGGGACTAATCCTGGCACTAAGATGTGCAGACTTGCCTGCCATTGACAGCTGCAGCCTCAGCAAGCACAGGGACGCTAAGATTCCTATCAGACACAACCTGTGGGGCGCGCCGTGACTGGGGCGAGCACACGCCAAAGGAGCGATGTTCACATCTCTTCTGTGGATACAGAGTTTAAGTTTTGCTCAAGGTTTTTAGAAAATCACTTTAAAAATTATTTTTGAACATTTTTGTTGGAAATCTTGCTAAAAATAATTCCATACCTCCATGTTTCCTTAAATAGAAGGCATAGAACATAATTCAGTGCATCCTTAATGACTCAAAGCCACCACCATAAAGATCAATGATCACATCAGGCTGTGTGTCATTCTGGGTCTTTTCGTTCTTATTCACAAGGTGGTCACCGAAGCTATCAGTTCTACTACATGGCATTTTGCTCTTAAGTTGATGTGAGAATTCCAATTTATAAAACTAGATTTGTACAATACTTAAGATTCAGTAAGTTCTAAATGAAAAACATACCAAAACACCAGGATGGCTTTTTTCATAGAGTAAGAGAATTTTGTTCTGCCAATTTTGCGACAGTTCTTCCAGCAGTGTCCAAGAACCTTCTTACGTACATCCTGAATGATCTGACGTGTGTATTCAGGATGACTGAGGGATCCAGGTGATTGAGAATGAGAGATGAACATGAGTAATAAAGCATAACGTCACTGCCCATCAGAAAAGCTCAGAGCCCATCAGAAGGTGCTCAGTAGAAACTTATCATCTTTCTGTATGTCACCTTTCCGTGACAATATTAACATTTGTACTTGAGAATTTGAATTAATAAAAAGGTCATTTCCTTACTGCTAAAGCAAGAGGAGTATCTTTTCTGGTGTTACAGACTTTAAATTTCAACCAACTCAATTAAGTTCATAATCTTTCATCTGAACAATATGTACCAAGTTTGTCAGATTATTTAAAACACGTATTTGGTGAGAAGAGTGACCCATCAAATGACCAAAACCCTGATTATTTCATGAAGTCTCTCCTATCCAAAGTCAGGATACTTGTGACTTGTGAGCAAAGTATTTCCTTGGCTAAGTCGGGTTTCCAATCTTGATCACAGAAATATGAGTCACAAAGAAAATGTAACATCCTGGGAAGAAATATTATTCATCGTAACTTGATTCTGGTTGCGTGACCCAGAATGAGGAGCCTGTTAAGGAGGAAGCCAGTCACACTTCGCCTCCTGTTGGAGACTCAGTGCACTGCACCCTAGATAAGGGGGACGTGGGTTAGAATCAGCATCTCCACTCATAGTAAGAAACATTTTAAAGAACGTTACTTAGCCTCTTTGAGCCTCAGTTTCTTAATTTGAAAGAAGTACAAAAGCACCTACTTCACAGAATTGTGCCATTGCTGTGAAGATTTGTGTATATACTCTGCCGGCATCGTATCCATGCTCGGTACGTTCCTCTCTCCCTTTCCCTCCCCCTATTCACAGCTTTAGCTTTTTATCCTGGTTTGATGACTCCATTGATGACTCCATAGTATGCTCAGGTCCCAACCTTAGGTGTCTGCATCTACCTCCAGATGATGGGCACATGAAGGTGCTCAATCAACATCTGCTTCTCTTTCCATGCTGACATGCCAGTGAGAATCCTTTTTGGATCTTTCATCATTCTTAATAACCTGAACAGCAGGATCTTGTGATCTATTTTACGTAAGGTTCTGTCCACAGCCTCTCCCAGCTGGGTAAAGAGCCGAGCCCTAGGCTCTGGAGAATTACAAAGAAGGGATAAAACACTATTTCTATCTTTAAGAAGCATATAAACAAATGGAAGAAATAAGTCACAGGGCAGAAATCTATCACTACACACAGCAGAAGGCAAGAGTACCTAGACATAAAGCTAAGTCTGTGGTAAGAACGATGAGATGAATAGGGTGAAAAGTTGGGTAGGGGAAGGTGGTTTCTGGGTTCATATGTGCTTCCATTGGCTGAATTTTATACTACACTTAGATTTCTTTAATAGTCTCAGGATTACTGTTGATACCATGCTTTTCAGAACATTTTTTTTTCAAATACAACCCAAAACATATCATTTATATACCTATATATACCTATATCTATCTATCTATCTATCATCTATCTATCCATCTTGTTCTACACGAAATGATTTATAATAAAGCTATTGTGTCTGGAGTTACTTAAGTACCTAAGGAGCATGCTTAAGCCTATTTGGTTTCAATCACAATAAAAGTTTATAGACCACTCACAGAGAGTTTGGTTTGAGCCTCAGAGTCATCCTGGTACAGGATCCCCAAGGAAATGATTCCACTTTTTCCCCACTATACTCTCCACTGTGCTGCTAGACTACTCTTTCCAAAAATTCATGCCTCTCCATTACTCAAAACTTTTAATGGATAAAGTTCAAATATCTTAATATAGAATTTAACATCATTTATACTGTGATCGACTTGTATTTCTACCTTTTCTTACAGGTCTTCACTGCTCTCCTAACACTCCACCACACTGGGCTGTTTCCGTGGTTCCAAACATGCCATACGTCAAATATGTCAGGCTCCGGTTACACCATGTATCTTTACTTTTTTATTTCAATACTGGCATGTGTTTGAGAATCTTTGCAGCTCTTGGAGTAGGTTTCCTTCCCCATTTCCATCCTAATTCACAGGCTACCTCTTATATAACATTTTCCTCAAACTCCGCCCTGCTTTCATTATACAGCCAACTCAGGACAAATCACATTGTGTTACAGCTATGTGTCTACTTAGCCTCAGAAGCAAGGACCTTAAAAGCAAGGACCACAGTTCTATTTTCAACGTTCCAGCTTGAAAAGTAGTGGCCCATACACCAATAGAACTGAAGCGGAGTGACGGTTGTATCAGTAAACTGCAGCTTTCTGAGGAAAACACCCCAGGAGATCTGGAAAATCAAGTATTACCAGTAATCCTTGAATATGGGGCTTCTTCAAGGGAACTGATTGCAAGTAGCCTTTCCAAACAGATATTTAGAGAACCATCATATCCAAATTACTCTCATCAAATTTTCAAGTGCTTGTAAATCTCATTTCATTTCAATGAATGAATATACAAGATACTTATTATTACATTTGGGTTGCATTCTTGACATAATCGTAAAATAGTCAAATGACCAGGAGTGAACAGCTAAAGTTAAAAAAGAATAGAGGTAGAGTACTGCAGATAGAAAAAAAAAAAAAAAGAAAGAATGAGCCACACTTTTAAGAGCCAAGAAAAATCCTGAAAGATCCAGGGATAGTGTTGAAATACAAGTGGCTTGTGAATTGTCAGTGGAGGGTTTCTATT